ACAAGTCTTAAAGCTGTCAAGTTGGAAGACCCCTGCTATAGACCAGGGGTCTCCAACCTTGCCTGGTGGACTTCAACTCCCAGAGTTCCTCCTCCAGTCATGTTAGCTCAGGAATTCTGGGAACCCCATAAGTCTTAAACTTGCCAAGTTTGAAGACCCCTGGTTTATGGAGATTCTCTCAGTCACCCAGGTCCTGGTTGTCCCAAAGATGCTTGTGTTTTTTTTTTTTCAAGAGGCAACTGGACTTTGTGGTTTTCCTTTGAAGAGGTTTTGTTTCTCATCCAAGAAAGTCCGGTTGCCTCTTGAAAAAAGGACCTTTGGGACAACCAGGACCTGGATGACTGAGAGAAACTCCATAGACCAGGGGTCTCCAACCTTGACAACTTTAAGCCTGGGGGACTTCAACTCCAAGAAAACAGGGAGAAAACCCCTTTGCCCCAGAAGTAAATGCCCTGAAGGGTGTGCAATGCGGGGCTTAACGTTGGGGACAAAGGGATTTTCTCCCTGCTTTGAAGTTGCGGCTGAATCTTGGGTGGTTGGGACCCTGGAAGTCCATAGTTTCCCAGGAGAATGGGGACTCCAAATGGGGGGGGGGAGTGTGCAAGTGGAGGGAGAGATTCCTTCATTCTTGACTCGGTTTAGTCAAAATGCCGACTTACGACCACAATTGAGCCTGACATTTCTGTGGCTACGCGAGACATTGGTTTAAGTGAGTTTTTCCCCATTTTGCGACCTTTCTTGCCATGGTTGTTAAGGGAACCGCTGCCGTTGTTAAGTTAGTGACACTGTTGTTAAGTGAATCTGGCTTCATCATTGACTTCGCTTGGGGGAGGGTCGCAAAAGTTGATCACAAGACCCTGGGATACTGCAACCGTCATAAATATGAGTCAGTTGCGAAGAGGCTGAATTTTTACCATGGGGATGCTTGCAGTGGTCAAAAGTGTGAAAAATAGGGAATTCTAATGTTTGGCCCACATAACAAAGTATATGGGGAGGAGGAACAGAAAGGATGATCAAATGCAACTCTGTCTATCATCAGTACTGATTTTTAAAAAAACTGGTGGCTTCACTATCAGTCTTTACATAATAACTGCTGTAATGATAGAGATTTTTGAAGATGTTAATAAATTGATCTGAGATTATTCTTCAACAGATGTTTCACAAGGAGATGAAGATCCCTCATAGAATATAAAATGTTATGCCTAACATTTAACCTTCAGCTTGCATCTTGAGGATTAATACACCTAACTGTTCAATCTTAGAGGCATTTGCTATAGAACATTTTTGCTGATATATTTTTTGCTGATGCATTATTTTGGAACACAAATATACAAAGAACGTTATCTGCCTGCAGATGGAAGATAGCAATAGCACTTAGACTTATATACCACTTTACAGCCCTTTCTAAGCGGTTTACAGAGTCAGCATATTGCCCCCAACAATCTGGGTCCACATTTTACTGACTTCGGAAGGAGGGAAGGCTGAGGCAACCTTGAGCCTGGCACTGCAGGCAGCTGGCTGCAGCAGAAGTAGCTTGCAGTACTGCACTCTAACCACTGCGCAACTGAGGCTCTAATAATGGTCCTAAGTCAGTTTTTTCAGTGCTATTGTGACTTTGACCTGTCAACGATTACCTGTATAAAGAATGTATAATTGATTATGTGCTATTAATTTGGTGGCCACTGTTAGCAGCTATATTTTCTCAATAACCTTGCAAGTCTTCCAACCATATGTTCATTGCCCCTTCAGCTGAGTCCATTCACCTTGCTTCCGATTGTCTTCTTTCCTTCCACCTTTCCCAACATTAAAGTCTTCTCCGGAGACATAGGTCTTCGCACAATGTGTCTGAAGTAGAATAATTTGTGATTTGTGTGAAAACCCTGTATGAAAACCCAATAAGTTATTTATTTGTTTTCTTGGATGTCCACAGTATTCTCAGAAGAGAAGTCTTCTCCAACAACAAAGTTCAAAAGTATGAATGCTGTTCCTGTTCTGCTTTTTTAAAGTGTAGGTTTCACTTTCATAAAGTATCATAGAGAATATTGTGACTTGCATTATTCTGATATTTGTTGGTGAGAGATATATCCATCATGTTTGAATATGTTTCCCAAGACCTTCGTGGCTGCTCTACCAAATGGTAGCCTGTGGCATTTTTCTTGACAGCTTGTTCTTCTTCTGTTGATGGTTGATCCCAAAAGGTGAAGCTGTTCACCACTTCAATAGCTTCACTGTCAATTCTAAGACTTATTGTTATGCCTGCTCTTGTCATTAGTTAAGATATTCTTTAATCTTAGTTTCATTTTGAACTCCTTGACCTTTATTACTAGATTTTGCATCTTCAAAGGATTGGGCACTTGATAGTTCAACAAGTGGTGAACACCTAGGATTTGCCTTAGTATGTTCAGTGAACCAAGCTATCATATTAAGCTATAATATGGTTGCTTAGTAGTGATGTGTTGTTAAACCTGCATTTAATATTTAATATGTCGGGTGAGCCCAGGCACAGTGAGAGTGAAGAAAACTTTCATCCAGTTGTTCACCATGTGGTGGGGGCTGGGGATCAGGTCCAAGGCCAGAAGTGCCTTTAGAGAACTTTAGACCTTAAACTCAGAGGAGAGATTACATCTGGACTACAATTGGGGAATAAGCCCTATTTGTTGTAGGAAATGTAGAAAGAAACCAACAAAACATCAATTCCAAATAAAGCATCTATTCCTACAAACGTCTATACAGATTCTCAGTCATCCAGGTCATGGTTGTCCCAAAACTGCTTTTTCAGGAGGCAACTGGACTTTCTTGAGGTTTTTTTTTTTGGGGGGGGGGAAGGTATTTTTCTTTTGAAAATGTTGTATGCCTACAAACATTTTTTTTAATATTAGAAGGAAAAATACTTCTTTTAGAAAGTTAGCACATTAAAAATTTCCAATTCTTTTTGGAAATAGCCCATTCCAGTAATTCTCAATCTTTTCTTCACTGTGGACCACCTTTAAATACCTTTTGTGGCCATGGACCACCGAGGCTTAACTCAAGATTTAAATTATAAAATTTCTTCAAGTCTTTGAGGATCCCCTGCGATGACATTGCACCTTCCCCAGGGGTCTGTGGACCACTAGCCTATTCCATCATTTATAACAGTGCTATCAAACTCCCGGCTCGCGGGCTGGATGCGTCATATGCTGGCCACGCCCATGCCCAGTTTAGTGAAGGGGGAAAAAGTCCAGATACATCACATGATGCCCCTGTGACCACATAAGTTTCATACCCCTGATTTATAACATGGTTACTGGAGATACAGATTGAGCCCCTCTTAAAAACAAATATATGCATGAGACTGAAGACAAAGAAAGGAGGCCAGCAAAGAAGTAGAGGAGACAGATGGGTTAAGGAAGGTAATTTTTAAGTAAGAGCTTTGATATCTGGAGAATAGATCTAGAGTGGTTTCAGACAGAGAGTTCCCATCCCTGTCAGTCAAAGGACACAGTGCAGTTCTGCTGCTTTTCTATCTTTCCTTATTATGGTAAGAAGACAAAAAAGCAAATGGATTAATTGGAAAACACAGGAGGATTACAGATGGGAGACTACAACGACTTGACCTTCCCATAAAATTCTTTGAGTGAGACTGGACAATTGCACAGTAAAAACCTTGTCAGGACATACCTTAAACTTTTCCAAGAACATAGACCAAATGCCTACAGATATTTCTCCCTTGTTACTCATTAATTAAAAGTCATGTTTTCTTTTATGGCCAAATAGAAGAGATTCATTGTCCATCATCCTATGTCTACTGTTTCATTTTAATTTGTGTGCTGTTTTCCCATGCACCAATGTTTTATTTTTCTTTCTGGGACCAACATTAAAATAATTTGTAGTAATAATATAGACACTCTTATATGAACTTGTTACAGTCATTTCATACAGAAAGCTGTGGATTGCAGCCAGCTTTATCCTGTCTGTGTCACATGAAACCAACACCCAGATTATAAAGGAGATGCAAGAGGATAAAGTGGTAATATTAAAATCTAGCTGCTCT